TGGCAGCCTGGGGGCGTTTGCCGCCCCTGCCGCTGCCGCGGCTCGCTGGCCTCGTTCCCCAGCGGGCGCACTCGCTGTTACCCGTGGATGATGACATCAACGGGCTAAACGAGGAGCAGAAGCAGGTAGGAACGCTGACCCCCTTTCCAGCCCCAAGGCCTCTTCCCCCAATCCCCTTGGCCCTGCCCGGTGGTCGTCGCTGCGCTCGCCGTCCAGCGCCCGCCCTGCTGCGGGAGCTCCGACTTGGGGACGGGGGTGGAGATCTGGTCCTCCCTCTTTGGGACCCGGTTTGTGACCTCAGCTTCACCTTTATGGAGGGAAATTTTGACGCCGCGAGGCTGGACTGCCAGAAGGTAGATTAGATTGGAGTCGAGGATTGGAAAGCTTCTGGAAGACTAGCGGTGCTTTAGTAGACGACTGACCAGGGCGACCGGTTGTGGCAAAAGGGCCCTCAAACTTCCTGTAGTCCTTTTATACGGGAACTCTGCCAAAAGCTATGGTGCTCAGACCTGTATGAGTATGATAGTATCACTATCATACTCACCCGGCATCTTCTTCCAGGAACACTTTGGTGGGTTTGAAATGTAGTGTGACCTGCTATCATTCTTCAATCCGTTGGGTCAAAGCACAAAGTTGAACAAGAGCTTGAAAGGATCTGGCGCAAGGAGGCTGTGTTCACTAGGAAGCTGGATACTGTGCCTGGGAATGTAATTCCCCTGTTCTAAGCATGTTTGTGAGCTTGCCAGAAGTCCAAACTGCGTTTGAGTTTATAACCAGCCAAGAGAACTTCATTGAATCACCTCAAGCAGAACGCTTTCAATCTTGATTCTCAGACTTTCCTGCCAAGAGCAGTTTGTAATCTTTATTCAGACTCTAGCAGAAAAGATCATGACTTGTGCAAAGAACTGAAAGGGGTGTGGCTGGAGCCCAGTGAGTGGGAGGTGCACGCACTGGGAAGGCCAGCAGGGTCAGCAGCTCATGCAGGGCCTTGCAGGACTGGGTAAGGAGCTTGTGTTTTATTCTTGGTCAATGGGAAACCATGGAATGATTTTATTTTTTGCTATAGGGCATGGGTACTTGCTGGAGAGAGAAAGAGAGAGAGAGAGAGAAAGTGAGAAAGCATCCTGTGGAGGGATGGCCATGCCACAGTCCCTTCTCCCTTCTCCTGGGATTTTAGGCACATTTGCACATGCTCCCAACATGGTTTCCAAGCCATCAGGTCCAGGATTCCAGCCACACAGTTGGCCATATGGGATCAAGCCACTTAAACCACCATACCACCTGGCTGGCTCTAGGATGATTTTATGTAAGGGGAGCGGCATTTAAAATATTATCTTCACGGCCAGTAGGTGGTGTGGTGGTTAAGGTGCTAAACTCCCACATGGCCGACCATGGTTCAAGTCCCAGATCTGGCAGCTCATTTTCTTACTCCTCCATCCCCCCCCCCATTTCTCTCTCTTCCTCTCTCTCTCTCTGTCTCTATCTGGTAACCATATATGCCCTATGACAAATTAAAAAAAAATAATAATCATAACAATTTAAAAATAAATAAATAAATCTAAAAAAAAAAAAGCATCTTCAAGCTGACCAGACTGAAGAACTTAAGAAAGAAAGGTAGGGACCAGCAGTTAGCATAATGGCTATGTCGCTGGACTCCCACGTAGTCGACCGCGGTTCAAGTCCCGGACCCAGTGGCTTAAACTCACACTGGGCGCGTGTGTGTGCGCGCCCAAGATCCCGAGAGGAGAATGGAGGAGAAGGGATTACAGCGTGACCATCCCCCCTGGGGAGTGATTTCTCACTTTCTGCCTCTATGTTTCTCTCTGTTTGTCTGGTGAGCGCACGCCCCCTATAGTGAAAACCTCTCAAAAAAAAAAAAAAGAAAAGAAAGAAAGGTAGGGCCAGCAGGTAGCTTGGTGGTTACAGCAGTTGGATCCTATATGGCCAACTACATGATTGAGTCCCAGACCTGGTGGCACAAAATACATTCTGAGCACATGTGTGTGCATGTCCAAAATCCCAAGAGGGGAGTAGAGGAGAAGGGATTACAGTGTGGCCACCCCCTCTGGAGAGTGCTTTCCCACTTTCCCTCCCTCTTTCTCTCTCCACATCTCTAGCAAGTGAATGGTCCCTACAGCAAACAGAAAGGAAAGAAGAAAGAGAGAGCGAGAGAAGGAGGAAGGGAAAGGAAGGGAAAAGAAGGGAAGGGGAGGGAAAGGAAGAAGATGAGCTCTGAGGAAGCATAAACTAGTGGGTCTTCCGTTGCAGTCTGGTGGTGTGTGGTGAGGCTGTGACCTCTTGCCTTTAGTGTGCTCTCAGTGGCAGTGATGTCCTGGAGTCAGTAGCACCTGTCCACCTCTCTCATAGCTTCGACAGACCCTGGCTAAGTTCCTTCAGGAGCACCTGGCCCCCAAGGCCCAGGAGATTGATCAAGAAAACGAGTTCAAGAACCTGCGAGTGAGTCTTGAGGCCTGGGCGGGGGCAGTCGGGAGCGGGGCTGAGGTGTCTTGGCGCTGCACGGCTGCCTGCAGAGGCTCACACAGTCTTCTGATTGGCGATGCAGCTCCTTCCTCTGAAGCATTTGGGTCTCATTGTTTCAGCCACATATGACTGGCTGCCTCCTCACAACTCACTCCATCTGTTCCATTCCATTGGCAGGAGTTTTGGAAGCAGTTGGGAAAACTGGGAATGCTGGGCATCACAGCCCCCGGTGAGTATAGTTTCTCCCAAAAGAGAGCTTTTCTTATGTGTCCTTTAACGCAGTTCCTGACAGAAGCCAGAAGGGAGGGGAAAGATGATATTCAAAGACATCTAGAATGGGTTGCCTTCTCTTGGACCCAAGAAAGTGCCTGTTGACTGACTGCCAAGGGAAGAAGGCCTCTTCTTTAGGCAGTGCTGTGCAGAAGGCATGAGGATTAAGCCAGTGTGTTTCACTTGGATCAGAATAATTGACTCGTAAACTCTGTATACTTTTCATTTTAAGTTTATCTATTTCTTTTTTTCTTTTTTTTTTTTTAAGAATTATTTTAATTTTGGGGACCAGTGGTTGGTGTAATGGCTATGTCTCTGGACTCCCATGTAGTTGATTGCCATTCAAGTCCCAGACCCGGTGGCTTAAACTTACGCC